AATGATATGCAAGTGCTCAGGTGTAAGTCGTATCAATCACACAATTCTCTGGCAGCCGGAGTCACCTAACGTGACCTGTACGGCTGTATATAGAGCTCAACCGTCAATCTCAATAACTAAACCTGCCCACGAGTCGGAACCACCTAAAGGGTCTGTACGACAGGCCTGGGTGTAACATGTATATACGCTCTAGTGCTACGATCACGTGAAGGCTGTGCGAATAATCGCGGGTCACCTACGAGTCGGAACCACCTACTGTGGTCTGTACGACAGGCCTATGCACCTAACTTGGATCCAAGCTGAGCGTATGGTGCGGGAGGTGAACAACACGTGAAGGACTGTGCCCTACTCTGGGCGGGAGCACTAACACCGGGGGTGCAGGTTATGAGCTCTCTAAGCATCTCTGAACACTATGTAATGCAATCGTTAATTAACGCTTACCTGGCACTTACCTATGCCTCCACAGCACCCACACATAAATATATGTAACATATGCATATGTATATGTATGCCACAATTAATGCATGCAACGATGCATAAACGATAAATAATAAAGTACATGGCATAAGGCAAATAACCCTTTTTAAATCAATTTCTGGGAATATAAATGTATATAGGTATATACGGAAAACAAAAGCCCACTCACTGGTATGTAGAAGGGTCGTAGCCCCCCTGCCTCGAATGTGCACGCTCGTCCTCGGGATACGTGTCACCTATATGCGAATTAACTACAAAAACGTTAACTTTAAAGCACAAAACCGTCCATTCAAAATAACTTCTCATACATTGCTCAAAATGGACAAATGAATATACCCACGTGACCTACACAACCTCACGATCACAACCATATTTTTAAAATAATTTTTGGATCACGCACGCGCCCCCACGCGCCAGCACAGGCACGGGTCCACGCGCCCCCACGCGCGGCCACGTGACCTGCACACTGACGGCGTCAGGTGACGCCGTCAGGAATATTCCCTGGAATATTCCGTTAACCTTGACTGACGCCGTTAGCTTCTGTTAGGAATATTCCGTTAGCCTTAACGGAATATTCCCCTGTCTTCTCCGGCGAGCCGCCGCCGTCTGCGCCGCCGCCGGCGCCGGCGCCGTCGCCGGAAAACTGGAAAATTTTCAAACTTTGTTTTCTCACTCGTTTTTCAACCATTTTTCACGTTCTTTATACCAAAATGAAGCTTAGGACTAGTAGAATCACGTTAGACTACTTTTAAGGCCTAAAAATCAAAGAATCTCACCTGCAACAACGATCCAAGTTCGGCCAACTTTGAACTAAGCTTTCCCGACGTCCAAATTCACCCAACGAAGCATTCCCAAGCTCCTTGAGGCCTCACTAACACATCTACAAGCTTAGAATGTCCAAAAACATACTAGATTAGGTTTGCATGAACAGTGCTCAAAACGGAGCTTACGAGATCGACGTGAAAACGACTGGTTTCTCACCTGAAAATGGCACCACTAGACTCCTCTCGGCCTCACCATCACGATGGTGTACTTGGTTCCCTCGATCTGCAAGGTTTTGGGTTGTTTTGGGTTTGGTCCGTACATATATGGTGAAGAAGAAGGGGAAAGAGAGAGACACGGGAGGGAGAGAGACAGAGGGAAAGGGAAGGGCAGAGAGTGCAGGTGTGTGTGTGTGTGTGTGTGTGTGGCCCAAGTTTGCCAACACCACACAAACAACCAAACAACATAACAAAGTAACTAGGGGTAAAATGGTAATTTCACGCGTACGGTTCCGATAACTCCGGGACGGGATGTCACAGATGCTATATGGATTCAAATAAAAAAAAATTTCTTTTCAAAATGTAAAGAAAAAAAATTGTACATAAAATCCCTCTCCTAGTAGAAAAATAAACAAATGAACAAATGACTCTTGAGATTTTGTTTAAATATTATTAAACTTGGATTATTGATCTACCGAGTTCAACTCCAGGAAGCGAAAAATCTTCTTTCTTTTTTTTTTTATTTTTTTTTATTTTTTTATATTTTATATTTTTATTTTTTGAATTTATTGTTCGAAATAGCTCAACAAAACTCCAAGCAGCTCATTTCTGGAAAATCCAAAACCATCCTGACTTAAATTCTCGTTTTTTTTTTTTTTTTTTATCAACTTGGTCCTCTCACTCTGCAGCGACGCCGCCATGGCCGACGCTCTGTCACCGTAACCCGTACTATACTCACCACAACTGCACCAAAACAATCCAAACAGTCCAAGCAAACCGAACAGTTGCAAAAGGAAGTCCACCGACGATGACGAAGGAGCAAGCCATCCTGCATCCCCATCATTGTCTCCACGAGATCCCGAGCCGAGCACCGCCCCGGCTTACCAAGTGCGTGCGCAAGCTCGTCAAGCAACGCAACTGGTTGAAGCCAACGAAGTCCTGAGCGTGTGCTGGAAAGCAGCCGGAAAGACAGGTTGCTGGTGAACAACTGATGTAGCAAACCAAGACTTGGAATTAGATTATGGTTTAAATATTATTTTGGATGAAGTACCTAAAACTCCCCAACTTTTTAGTGTTATTTCAAATTGGTCTCAACAGTTTTAAATATTCTAAACTATTACTCAACTTATTGAAAATATCATAGCCATTAAGCCCCAGTTAATTTTTCAAACATAGTTTATATTCAAAACTCACCAACAAGGTATATCATGGTCAACATTAATATTAGTTGACTCAAAATCTAAATTTCAAACATAGATTATATAATAAGGAACCCAATGTTCAAATGGTATTGAACTGAATAAAAAATGGACTCAAATTGAAGTTACGTCAGGGGACAATCTCCTAACAAAGAAGAGGGTTAAGAATTCATATAGATCTTCAAGGAGCTTGTTTATGCTCATGTGATTTCCTCCTTTGTTGATTTTCGGTCATAAAGCTTTGAGTTCTTCTATGCGGGCATGGCAATCTATACCATTTCCGCAACATCCATGACATTTCCGCAACTGTCATGACATTCTTCTTAATGTTGGCTGCTTGAGCTGTAGGGTGGAGTTGTTGGTCTTGCATTGGGTTTGGAGGTGATGACCTGATGGTGGTGGTGGTGGTTGTGGTGATGTTAATTGGTGGAGGCCATGCTTCCATGACCTTCAATTGTTTTTGGAGACATAGTAATCTCTAGTTAATTTAACAAATTTTTAACTGGGGCTTAACGAATGTGACATTTTCAATAGATTGGCTACTTGTTTGAAATGTTTTAAAAATTGAGACTAATTTGAAATAACACTAAAAAGTTGGGAAGTTTTAGGTACTCAATCCTATAATTCTTAGGGTGAAGTGCCAATTTAGTCCTTGAACTATCATCTCAATGAAAATTAGGTCCCTGAATTATTTTTTTGGTAAAATAAGTACCTAAATTCATTAAAATTGCTAATTTCATCCCTACTATTATATTCAAAACTATTTTATCCAATTTTTCATCGACTTAAGTCACTTGACACACTTTAGAATGTAATAACATCATTTTCCGCCTATAAGCTCTTAACATTTCATATAAGTTGTGAATCTAACGTCTAATTTACCCTCTAAATTGACTCCATACACTATTTCTTTTTGAAAAATTACCAATCTACCCACCAATATGTATCACATGTAAGTAACGTGACATAAATTGACGAAAAATTGAATATGGTATCTTCAAATCTAATGTTAGGGACGTAATTGACATATTTTTATAATTCAAGGACTAATTTTTCTAAAAAAGTAATTTAATAACCTAATTTTTACTCAAATGATAATTCAAGAATTAAATTAGCAATTCACTCTAATTTTTTTATTACAATCAACATCACTCCTCGTCGGTGTAGCAAACCAAAACTAGGAATTAAGGTATGCTTTGACTTCTGGGTTCGAGTTATATAAAATTGAAATCACAATACAACTTATAAAATTTAAACTGAACTACTCTTTTGGCACGCTTGCGTCGAATTGATTTTTTTTTTTTATTATTATTGGTAAAACTGTTTTCGTCTCTAATTAAAATTTAAAAACTATTTATATTGATATATAAAAGAAAATAACGAGAAATACAATTTTTTTTTTTCTTTAATTATACGTAGTGTTTATTGATATGAAAAATTAATAGATCATCGTCTCTTTGCTCTTACTTTTCGTTTATTTTTATTTGATGTTGAATTATTGATGTGACATTGTAGTCACCGTAATAAGCATTATCTTTTCGTCCAAACACACAGTTAACAAAAGGTTTTGTATCCAGTTATCACATTCGATATGTGGGTGAACCAGGAAGCCATGGAAGATGTCAAATTGCGTCGGGATTGAGTTTAGTCAGTATGACACTTTGGGTTTAGCCGATGCAGTGATATGACTTTCAGATGTCCACAAGATGTGGAGCGTGACATAATTTATCCTTTTATTTTGTTTCTGTTTAATAATTTCCAAGAATTGTCATAGAGTTTGGTTTGATTTCTCTCTCTATAGGAGAGTGCATAATTTAAATTTTCGTTTTGGTGTGCTAGCTCTTTAGGATCATGGCAGTGATTAGGTGATGCAATCTACCCATGGGCATCATACTCCTTATAACACGAAATTTAACAGTTTTATTGATCTGTGTAATCTTGCGATTCCCGATAAGCTCGGACAAGTGCTTGAAGTTTGCTCATTACTCTATGATTAGTGATGCTTTATTGTTATATTTTTAGATCTAGCTTGCAAAGACCCTTTTAGGACCGAGTTTTTCATAATATGTACTTGTAATGCCTTTTTATCAATGAATGACATACCGTAATTTTCTTCACAAAAAAAAATATTGAAAAAAAAATTTCATAGCTATGCAAATTAAATATAACAGTTAAAACATTCATAATACATAATTATTCTTTGGTATCGGAGCATGGTAACTTAATAATTATTTTTTAAATTTACAAGTGCCCGCGAGTGCTTGGCAAGTTATCTATCTTTATTTGTTGTATTTATTTTTTAATATTTTGTCTTAATAATTACGCTGCCTGACAACGTCAATACGCTGCTTGGCGAGTTATCTATCTTTATTTGTTGTACTTATCATCCAACCCAAGCGCAAAAAGCTCTGTACTGAGCTCACTGCTGCGCCATGGGACAGGTCCTCGACAGGTTGCGAGGTACCTCTCTGTTCCTTCGACATCGTTAATGTTATTTTCTGTTGGGTTCTAGTTTCGATGGCTTCTCCATCGCTCCACACTTGTAGAATCTGCAAATGACTTTTAGTTGTGGACTGTAGTCATCTATTAGTTGCTTGGGCGATGGGTTTTCTCAGATGCAGCAGAAAGTTACCGTTTTGAATACGCATGTTTCCATTTATCTTGTTCTTGTACTGGATTTTATGTACGAATTTATAGTATGATATCGTCAGTTTGATATTTCTCGATGCGACATCAAAAAATAGCATTATTATCCGTAAGTTTGTAGATATCCATCGGTACAGACAGTCTCACATGTTATGTTACATTACTGGACATGAAGCAACCGTCAATTACATACACGTTTATAAGGTATCTGATAATTTTCTGGATTGCAGATAAGCAATGGAGGCGAAAGCAAATACGCAGGATTACAGATGAGGTGTTTGATCTTTATTTTAAAAGTGACACAGGAAGCGTTAACTTGAATTTTGACGATCTGTACATCGGCGTACTACTTGTGTTCAAGTGAGGAGCTTTTCGTGGTAAACGTATTCCCATTTTTTTTAACTGATTGACAAATCATGCTGCTAATTTTAACTGATTGTTGTTTAATCTTCCTGTTCTAGTGAACTCAATAAGCGTTTACCCGGCCCGCATATTGATCCACCCTCCAAAGATATTGTCTTAGATATGATGAAGGTACTCTAGTTGTTTAATAAAACATAAGGATGAATTAGAATCAGAATCAGTTTTCTGATACAGGGATTTTCTCGTTGGATACAATCAAACAGTTGAAATGAAATTTGGTAGACTCAAACCATCTACAAGTAAGATAATATCTTTTGAAATTTCAACAGTATATACCCAATAACATCTGTTACGTTTCTTGTGTTGAGGTGTTGTGCTGCAAAAGTCAAGTTGTCGTACCAAGTATTAGGCAAATAAGATTTGTGATCCAATTTTTGTTTTAGGTTACGGAAAGCTCGTTATCTGCTCATATTCTTATAAGTTTTTCAATCGAATAGAGTACAATTAGTAATTGGTAATTACTCTCACAAGCGACCTAGCTTTTATTCGTATCTTTGTTGTGTAAATTGCAATTTTAAACTTCAGACTGTTAGATCAATACAACATATATACTCTTTCTCTTATGCATGGAAAATGATTTGAACATGTTTAAGTTGCCGTGAGAAAAAAGAAGCAACTTTTTGTCCTTCTTTATGTAGTCTGGTTTAGCAGGATGTGACAGAGTACCGGTTTGTTTGAGGTTCTACATAAATGACCAATTTTTCCTGCTCAGTTTAGACTTTTATGTTTCTTCGTGTTCCAATTACCTAAGTTCACTTTTGTTCCGATTAAGAACTAAAATGTTAGAAATTTTGAAGACAAGTTCATTTGACTGCAAAATTCATCATCATGTTTCAGTAGGCCTATTGGCCGAGGCACTAAATAAAGTCTTCGCCTGGCTAGTTATCTGAAAAGATGGCACCTCTTTCATAAACTGATTCTAATGTCTGCACTCTACTTATATGTAAAATTTCCGTCGAGATATCATCCTGAAAGCATGAGATGATGAGAAGGTCTATTGTTGTTTGTGACTTGTATGTCAGGTCGCAGTTTAGTATCATTCATCTCTTTGACTGACTAAAACAGAACCAAGTCTCTAATTCAGGATTGAAAATGTGCGTGTCAATTTTGTATGTTCAAGTTTCTGCTGTTTGTTGAATACTGTTGTTGCTGCTGTTTGTTAGGTAAGAATCCATGTTGAGAATCTAAGATTCCCGTTCAGAAAACGTAAAGAAACTGTTCGGATATGAGCTCATTATTCTCTTCTAGAAATGTTGAATCAAGGATTTATCTTCAGCGAAACTCGTTTGATTTGTCTAATAATGTTTACCCCTAATATTTGCAGGAAAACGATCTCAATCTTGATGGAGAAATTGACCGCGAAGAGTTTGCAAACTTCATCAAGCAGTTGACAGCGGACACATTCGTTATTGTCAGTCAAGGACTGATCATCACACTGGTTGCAGCACCGGCGTTTGCAATGGCGACAAAGAGGGCTACCGAGGGTGTACCGGGGGTTGGAAAGGTCGTGCAAAGGTTACCCAATTCAGTTTATGCATCCCTTCTGACTTTTACTGTTGTGCTGTTTCAACAAGCGCGTCATGAGTTCAATTAGCCGCAAGTTTGTTCTCAGTTCAAGCCTTCGATGGTCTATTTAAAAGACTTGATTATTTGTGGCTGCACAATAAGATACAAGGAGAATGGTGTTTGAACTTATCGTATATAAATAGTTGTCTTTTGGAAGTTAACCACTTTAGTTCATCCTTGTAGTTCCACTAAATTTCCTTAACACTACTTGACTCGTTCCTCGTAGGGTCGGACGATGACAGAGTCATTTCTCTTTACTCGCAACTCATAGTACGATGCATAAAAGAAAAACACACACAACAAAATATTTGCACACATGATTTATCCAGGACCGGGAGGAATACACATGATTTACACACAACAAAATACTCACAAGTGAGTTTCAGAGTTCGGCATTTTGACGGCCGAACCACATTCACCATCAAGACATACATCACCTTTGAATACTTGTGTTCGTACAGTCTAGTGTCGATTCGACATGCTTATACTCTCACGAATATAATCACCATGACCGAATCCGGCGCCGACGATTTGTGAACTTCGCAGAACTAGCAGCCTTGTCTTCAGGCTCGAGAATCCAAAGGCCGAGATTTGTTCCTTCCTCAGCTGCAGTCACAAGATAAAGAAGTCAGCAACGTGCTCAATGCAACGTCAACAAATTTTACTCCTCGGTCGAGCTCGGCCGACGAGTTGGCACACCCCGCATTTAACCGAAGGACGTAGTTGGCTTATTAGTTACTCGGCATGCACGCCATGTAGGTTTTGTAATTTTTAGGGTCAACATTTTGGCACGCCCAGTGGGACTCAGTGCTAAAACTACGAAGTTCATATGATATATCAAGATTCCAATCTGGCTCCACGTAGCGGATTGTACGAGCTCCTAGAGGAATTGAAACAAGACAATGAGGAGCGAAAAAGATCTTTGGAAGTGGAAAAAATTCTTCGTGGCCATACAAAGATGCAAAAGTCATTCGTTTACATGTTGAGAATAAAAGCTCATGTTACCCTGCAAGAGCAATGGTAAATGAAGACAGGGCTCAATTTAATACCTGGCTCGATGGAAAATATTTTCCTTACGTTTTCGACTACAAATCGATTCCATTTGAGGAATGGTTGGTTGAAAAGGCCGGGGGGCAATTTTCCTCTTCGGTCGTAATCAGACATCGGCCTAAGAAAATTGTTACTTTGGCCGAAGAATAAAGGCCACCTATTTTTTCGGTCGAGGCTGAAAGTGTGGTAGGCCTAGAAGAAAATGTTCAAATTTCTGTGCCAAAAACTGACTCAGAAAATAATTCGATAGAAAAGTGTTCCAATGATGAACAAGACCAATTCATGGTTTCAGTTGAACAAACCACGCCAATCGATATGATTATTGGTGATAAAGCACATATAGAGTAATCCCGTTCAGCTCAGTTGTTCGGGTTAAAAGCCGAAATTGGCGAAATTATTATGCCTGGGGGGCATAATAATTGTCCAACACATTCGGCGGCCGGAAATGAAAAATATTCCGCCAAGTCAACAATATTTGGAGAAAATTATTTTCTCGGCCTAGAGCGAAATCAATTTGAGAATTTTGATGTAAAAAGATCTCGGCTCGGAATAAAACATCGTTGGCCTCCTCCACTTTATGGTTACGCCACTTTTATTTTCGTTTGCTAATATATATATATATATATATATATATATATATAATGAATAAATTATTTTCTTAACCATCTGGCTATTTGAGCCGATGGTGTATAAGAAAATAGAGGGCAATGATTGATCCATATTTCGTACCTCGTACAAAAATGTCATTGCCAAAGGAATGGAAGATGGAAGCTTTTGGCCCAAAAAAAAAAAAAAAAACCTTGGTGCAGTGTGCAGTCAGTCGCAGGCCGATGCATGTGATTATGCATAAGGATTCGGCCAAGATAAACCATTAGGCCGAAGTCGAGGGTAGGTCGAGAAGGCCGAGAAAATTTTAAAAAGTGGATGTCATGATTCCACTTTCCTTGGACGTCATGATTCCATTTTCCCTGACATGGTTCCACTTTCCCTTTATTTTATAATAGTTGAAAGGTGGGCACTGATTTGGTGAAGCAAAAAGATTTGATGTGACTCAAATATGGTACTATCATGACCCATATATATAAATATATATAAGTCTTGGTTTTAACAAAGCCATTTGGGAAAAGCCACCTTTATTAGGTGGTACGTCTTCACGTGGTTCCAATATTTCCATGGGGTTTTATATATAGCTTGCTTCACAGTGTGATGTGATTTCTAGACAAGAATGGCAGTAGGCTTCACTCTATGGCCATACGGTTGCAGGAGGGGAATCATGATTTGCTTCCAAGTTATGTCAGAATACCATTGGGGAAGCGACAAAAGTTTTTATTAAAGGCCGAGCTCGGCCAACTCGTTGAGGTATACTTTCCAAGTAATATATATGCCCATCAAACATATATAGCTAACTTGTCACGCCCCAATCCCGACATACGTCCAGAATTGACACGTGACGTCACCAAAATTCCGTATCTATCATATCTCACCTCCGGGATAAGGGCAAGCACAACTCAATAATCGAATCACATAGTTATTTTTCGTATGTTTTATGGCTGCATCTAACCTCCTCGTTAGACTGCCTACGTACCCTAAACAGGGATCAAGCCATTCATAGTTCGTCATGCACAATAATTGACATATAACACAGTCCAATTAAGTCGAAAGGTATAACGTTTCTCAATCAATCAATAGAACTCGACAAGCATGAAATTACTTGACTCAGGGTTACATAACAACCCATCTGAAAATCATGATTTCCCCTCCATCAATATATAGGCAATTATGTCACAACATGATACCGCAATTCACAACATATATCATTTCAAAGAACCAACTATGTACAATACCATTCTCGAGCCACATTTATCAACAAGTCTAATCATAACAATAACAATGATATCCAACATAACAATCCCACATGACGATTAACATTTCCACTTCATCCATCACATAAATCATCACTTTTCCCACATAAATTCGCGTTTCATAGCGTGTAACATATTTAAGAATTAACAAAGTACATATTATTCTCTAGAAATATTAATCAACTAAAATACTCATGATAACTCCACTCATATCCAACGTCATTCCATAATCACATCAATCAATAACACATACAACAAGTCGAAACGCAAGGCTAGAGTAACACAATTCAGTTGAATACTACATCTTTGGAAAAAAAGGATTTTGGACCACCCAACGGACCAAGGCTCCAAAGGGGATTCCGGACCATCACTCAACGGAATTCAAACAGAACTCAGTTCCAATCCACCCAACCGAATTGAACGGAAGTCCAAGAAACATAACAATGGCTCGAAGGAACAAGACATGATTCAAGTTACCCAATTCACGAAACTCAACGAAACGAAGCAATATTGAGCAAAATTCACATCACAATGGGTCATCGGTCATTTACTAGACCTCACATCTCCCAAGCAATTCAATATGCGTTTCAATCACATGTCACAACCATTTCCAATACACAAGTCAAATCACATTTCACTTCATCATACTAATCACTCTACTTCCAACATTATATTCCAATACATAGCTTGTAACATATCAAGGAATCACGAAGTACAATATTAACATTTAATTACGTTAATCAATTAGTGAGATAACATATCATTTCACGAATTTAATTAAAGAACTCTAGTTGATGAGGTAATATTGTTCTTGAAGGTTACTCTAGTTGTTAATGAGGGTAATATGTAAAGAGATAGAGATAGGGAAGTAAACACATAATATACTACCCAAAGTTAGGCTATGTCCACAAGGGTAGATGAGTTCTCATTGATAATGTAGAGTATACATGATACAAAGGTATAAGCATAACCATCATTAGTGAATTCTGATTACGAATTAAGTACAATAATGACATTATAGACTAATTGTAAGTGAATGGTCTCCTTTTACAGTGGAGGAAAGTCACACATTTTCATCCACGATCGATGTGGGACTCTATGAGCTTTATTTGCATTGTTATTGGCCTCCTGGTTGATGATAAACTCTTGTGCTTTGGCAATGGTGCCTCGACACAAATCCTTCAATGGGTCCCTAAAGGTATAAAGTTGACTAGTACTCTATAATTTCAGGATTTGTGAACTGTGGTACAAGCAGTATATTTATTTTTATTGGACTTGGCACTTGCCACGGTATTGTTAACGTCGGGCCCATTTAGGCCCACCCCTCGATGTAAGCACAAGGAAAGGCCAAAAAGTCCAAAGCCCAGAGAGTTTGAAAAGGGCCAACCCGAATGCTCTAATCGACTGAGACAAAAGAAGAACTAACCGACTATGTAGAACACGTGGGCAAAGCTGACAACTTTTCGACATAAGTCTCCAAGAGTAGAACTACTCAAGTGCAACTCAGACCATTCAACAACGTGCAAACAACAATAGAAACCTAGGATGGGACATAAGGGTAGTCAGAGTAGTGCCCCGCAAGGCGAGACGGACCAAGGTTCGAGCGAGATGCTCAAGCCACCTAGGACTTAAAAGACGTGCTATCCAAATGCTAAAACATCACTTCACTAACGAAGGCCTAGCCGAATAGGTGAAACGTTGTAGTAAGCTATTATAAGTGGTGGGCACATTAAATGCCTGTTTGGGAGGCCTCAATAGGGCGAGGCCTATACAAAGGGGTAAAGGCCTATATAAATGGGTAAAGACCTTCATTGTGGGGTCGAACGAATCAAAGAGTATAGAGTGAATGTATTAGCTGAGAGCTATCTAGCCACAAAATCACCATATTGAGATCAATACTTTGAATGTAACCCAATTTTGAGGGGTGAACCAATTACATCTTTGAGTCCATTTAATTGCATCCCATCTCATAAGCGCATCTAAAGTCATTTAATTAAGTTTGTTAACCTGACAAACTTACATCTTTGAGTCCATTTAATTTCAACCCATCTCATAAGCCCATCTAAAATCTTTGATTAAGTTTGTTAACCTTATAATTTTGAGCATTAATAGGTCTAACTGTCTTAAATACGATAAATTTTTAGTAGTGCCAGTGGTGTTGCCACCTGTGGAAATCTAACACTTAGATATTCTTTACCTTTTTCTTTTTTTTTTCTTTTTTTTGTTTTTGTTTTTGTTTTTTGTTTTTTTTTTTTTTTTGAATAAACGATATTTACCTACACTAGAGGATGGAGAGTTAGCAAAGTCTCACAATGAACAAGTAATAATATGGTTCAAATTTGCCTTAAGTGAGAATCGAACCTAAGACCTCTCACTTAAGTAGCTTCTTTACTTTATTTTCAATTAACTAAATTTAAGTGTTAAATTTCCACGGATAAAGAACATCCCCTAGCTCAAGTGCCAGAACACTTAAAATTTCTCCTTAAATACAGTGGATCGTGTCTTAATGATTACGCTGCCTGACAATGTGAAAAGAATGCTACAATACCAAAGATCCTCCCTCCTCTTGCTTTTATTCTTAACTTATCATCCAATCCAAATCGCAAAAAGCTCTGTAGCTCACTACTGCGCCATGGGACAAGTCCTCGACAGGTTACAAGGTATCCCTATATTCCTTCGACATCGTTAATGTTGTTTTCGTCCCAGTTCTGAATTTTCCCTGTTTTCTGTTGGGCTTTAGTGTGAAATGTTATGTTAGATTACCGGACATGAAGCAACCGTTAATTACATATATGTTTATAAGGTATCTGATAAGTTTCTGGATTGCAGGTAAGCAATGGAGGCGAAAGCAAATAAAAAGGATTTCAGAGAAGTTGTTTGAACAATTTAGAAATGATAGAAGAACGGATAACTTGAAAATCAATGATCTGTACATCGGTGTACTACTTGTGTACAAGTGAGGAGCTTTTCATGCTAAACGTATTCCCTTTTTTTAAACTGATTGACAAATCATGCTGCTAATTTTAGCTGATTGTTTTTTAATCTTCCTGTTCTAGTGATATCAATAAGCATTTATCCGGCAAGCATTTTGATCCACCCTCGAAAGATCAAGTCAGAGAAATGATGAAGGTACTCTAGTTGTTTAATAAGACATGAAACCATTAACAAGCAAGATGATGTCTCATGAAATTTCAACAGTATATATGCAATTTAGCAGGGGATTTCATATAACATCTGTTATGCTTATTAAGTTAAGGTGTTGTGCTGCAAAAGTCAAGTTGTCGTACCGCATATTAGGCAAATAAGATTTGTTATCCAATTTTCGTTTTGCATTAGGGAAAGCTCGTTATCCACACATCAATGATCAATCTAATACAGTTGGTAATTACTCTCACAAACGTAGTTTTGATTCGAATTTTTGGTGTGTAAATTTCAATTTTAAATTTCAGACAGATCAATAAACCTACTCTCTCTCTCTCTCTCTCTCTCTCTCTCTCTCTCTCTCTCTCTCTCTCTCTCTCTCTCTCATGCATGGAAAATGAACTGAAACACGTTTAAGATGCTGTGGTCAGAGAGAAGCAAGTCCTTGTCCTTTATGTAGTCTGGTTTAGCAAGATGTGACCAGTTTGTTTGAGGTTCTATATACATGACCAATTTATTCTGCTCCGTGTAGACTTCTAAGTTTCTTCGTCTTCTGCTTACCTATGTTGAAATTTCTGCTGTTTGTTATACAAAGAAATACTGTTGTTGTAGCTGTTTGGTAGGTAAGAATCCTTGTTGAGAATCCGTCCGTGGTGTCCCGTTCAGAAAACCTTGATTCAATCATTTGCCTTCAGCGAAACTCGTTTGATTCGTTTAATAATGTTAACCCTTAATATTTGCAGGAAAGCGATTTAAATCTTGATGGAGAAATTGACCGCGAAGAGTTTGCAAAGTTCATTGAGTACTTGACAGCGGACAATTTGGTTGTTCTCGATCAACTGATCCTCACACTGATTGCAGCACCGGCGGTTGCAATGGCGACAAAGACGGTTACCGAGGGTGTACCGGGGATCGGAAAGGTCGTGCAAAGGTTACCCGATTCAGTTTATGCATCCCTTGTGACTCTTACGGTTGTGCTGTTTCAACAAGCGTACCAGGAGTTCGGTTAGCCGCAAGTTTGTTTTAACTTCAGTACTTCTACGTAGGTCTAGTTTGGTATTGTTGTATTTTTAAAAAAATTATTTTATATTGTGCTGTGAGAATACAAAGATCTAAAATAAAATTATTTAATGTTTGGCAAATGATTAAAAATAATATGTTGTTAAATGTAATATGATAAATGTATAGGCAAAGGTTGTACTTTTGTAATATATGCGAGAGTGGACTTGTTATTTAAAAATTTCATTAAATGACAAGTCCATCCTCGCATATATTACAAAACACCTGCATTTTTTAAAGAAACGTAGTAGACCTTACTTCTGTTTTTCTATGCTTTTCTACTAAAAATAACAACATTTTAAAAATAAAAATAAAAACATTTTCTTTTTTATTTTACCAAAGGCATTTGATGTACCAGATTTTATGATAAGCTATTTCTTTTTTCTAAAGCAGCGTAACTCCAAACTAGCTCTTAAAAGACTACGTTTTGGGTTAAAAAGTTAGCCTCGTCAGTTGGGTAATTGTAGCTGCATAATAATGTACAAGGAGATTGGTGTTTGAACTTATCATATACAAATAGTTGTCTTTTGGAAGTTAACCATTTTAGTTCATCGTTGTTACTGCCACTAAATTTTCTTAAAAAAACTACTTGACTCCTTCCTCGTAATGTCGGACTATGACGGAGTGGGAGGGGGAGGGAGTGGGTTTAGGGTTGGTTTGAGATTATTGTGTTTTTCTTTTTTTTTTTTTTTAAAAAACTACTTATTAAAAAAATCTGGAATGTTAAATGTATTTGGTAAAACAAAAAACAATGTTTTTTTCAAAAAACTATTGTTAACAACAATAGAAAAGCATAAAAAAAAATAAAATAAAAAAAAGCAGAAGCATGGTTTACCATAATTTATAAAACAAAATCCCAAAGCATAGTTGTGACAGCCTGTTCCGAAAATTTTAAAACGTACGCGTGAAAAGACTATTGTTAATAAATCTGCTTATTAAAAAATCTGGAATGTTAAATGTGTTTGGTAAAACAAAAAAAAATATTTTTTCAAAAAACTATTGTTAATAACAATAGAAAAGCATAAAAAGATAAAAAAAAACAGAAGCATGGTTTACCATAGTTTTTTGGAAAAAAAAAATCCCAAAGCATAGTAATCGGTGCTTATTTAATAAAATTTTCAAATAACAAGTATACCTCCACATGTTTTACAAAATTAGAATTTTTGCCCCTACATTATTGTATTGGACAATTATTATATCACATTAAATACCATATCATTTTTAATCATTTAACATATTCAAAGCAATTTATATAAACGTTTACCAAACACTCAAATACTGTTTATTTTTATTAGAAGCACTTTTACAAAAAAAAAAAATACCAAACACTCAAATACTGTTTATTTTTATTAGAAGCACTTTTACAAAACACCTGCATTTTTTAAAGAAACGTAATAGACCTTACTTCTATTTTTCTATGCTTTTCTACTAAAAGTAACAACATTTTAAAAATAAAAATAAAAACATTTACTTTTTTATTTTACTAAAGGCATTTGATGTACCGGATTTTATGATAAGCTATTTCTTTTTTCTAAAGCACCGCAACTCCAAACTAGCTCTTAAAAGACTACGTTTTGGGTTAAAAAGTTAGCCTCATCAGTTGGGTAATTGTAGCTGCATAATAATGTACAAGGAGAATGGTGTTTGAACTTATCATATACAAATAGTTGTCTTTTGGAAGTTAACCATTTTAGTTCATCGTTGTTACTGCCACTAAATTTTCTTAACAACGCTACTTGACTCCTTCCTTGTAATGTCGGACTATGACGGAGTGGGAGGGGGGAGGGAGTGGGTTTAGGGCTGGTTTGAAATTATTGTGTGTTTTAAAAAAAAAAAAAAAAAAAAAAAAAAAAAAACTTCTTATTAAAAAATCTGGAATGTTAAATGTGTTTGGTAAAACAAAAAAAAAATGTTTTTTTCAAAAAACTATTGTTAACAACAATAGAAAAGCATAAAAAAGCAGAAGCATGGTTTACCATAATTTATAAAACAAAATCCTAAAGCATAGTAAGCGGTGCTTATTTAATAAAATTTTCAAATAACAAGTATACTTCCATATGTTTTACAAAATTAGAATTTTTGCCCCTACATTATTGTATTTGACAATTATTATATTACATTAAATATCATATCATTTTTAATCATTTAACATATTCAAAGCAATTTATATAAAAGTTTATCAAATACTTAAACACTGTTTATTTTTATTAGAAGCACTTTTACAAAAAAATAAATAATACCAATAAATTTAGAACACTTAACAACTTTATTTTACAGCTATTTATTCTCACAACAAAGCAGAAATAGTTTTTTTTTAAAGCACAGCAATACCAAAGTAGCCTTTAGCCTCGTAATTGGATATCAATAATGTGGTTTACATTCTCATGGGAGAATCAAACGACTTCTTTCTTACAAATAAAAAGAATACTACTAAATCATAGTATTAAAAATAATTTTTTTTTTTTATAAAAAAAAACCTACTAATCCTTCTGGTTGCTTTGTACTGCTTCTGGGTTGGTACAATTGCAGTGCCCTTTTCCATGATTTTCTCGTGGCAAATCATGGCGTCTGTGTCTCTTCCTCACTCGCTTCCTAACACGCCGCCGCTCCTCCCTTCAAACCAACCAAGAATTATCGCTCCCTCATTCAATCGATTCCCTCTCCTTCGATGCTCCGCCAATCTCAGAAACTCCAAAAATCACCAAAATTCCAGAGCCAATGGTCGCTTCACTACCACTCGCCTCCCAGGTTCTAATTTTACTGATTCAATTTACTGTTGACTGTCTCAAGTAAGAAAATTTTTAGCTTCTCCTTTCAAAATTTAGTGCAGAAAACACAGAGGTTCGCTTTTTATTTTTCGAAATATAGAAATTTATTTACTTGTTAGGGTTCTATGTTGAATTGTGAGTCTAAATTGATGCATACGGTTTCGAGGACATGAAATATGTTGTATGAATTGGTTTTTTAGGTTTGAAGTGCATGACTATGACTTTTTTGAATTTGAATTTTCTTAATTTTTCAAGCGTTAATGAATTGGGTTTTGAAAGGTCTTCAAAACCATGCATAGTTCCACTGAAATTTCTACTTGTAGCGGGTTGTAGAGAGCGGATGAGTTGGTTTGTAGAAAATGGCTGTATTTCGGAAAAAGATAACCTTCACGTCATGTCTGCAGTGCTGCACACAGGCGCATGCATATGGAGAAGAGATGCTAGTTGAGTTATATGTGTTCTCAAAGTAGTTATAATCGGAACAATTTCAGGAATTGAGCACTTTCGGAGACAAGAATTGGGGTTAGGAGTGCTTATGTAAAAAACATTTCTGATCATATGTGCTTCTGTTAAAAGCATGTCAGAATTTAATCAACATCCAGTTGATTCCTGAAAATGCACTTGAAAGTGTTTTGTGAAGAAGCACGGTTGACTGTTTCAAACATAGTCAAAAGTGCTTGTAGCCCTTCTAGAACACTTACTTACCCTGCATTGTGTATCAATAAGACTATAAGGATAGCTCGAAGGTGGGAAAAAAAAAGAAGCTAGATTTTAAGGATATTGTTTTACTTTTCATCAGAAGTGCTAATGTATCTTGCTGATTCTATGACGCCGTATTTCATATGATCTCCAGGTTGTGCAAGTTTTCAATACAGTTGTACTTACATGGGTTATTTTTCTGATACTATTGTAGCAAAGTTAGAAGTCGAATGTTTTGCGAGCATTTCTTCTTCAAGTACCCAAGAAACATCTTCAATTGGTGTCAACCCACAAATCTCAATACCTCCCCCACCCTCAAATGTGTAATGATTTGTTTTCGTCACTTTCTCAGTTTTTATTTATTTTTATAACTAATCATGTATTTTATGAGCTTTTGTGGTTGCTTTTTCTTTCGTCCTTGTGCCCAAATACTCATAACCATTTCATTTTTACACCTTCATTTTTCCTATTATGTTCTAGAGGGTTGCCTCTGTTTTGCATTGGCATTGGTGTTGGGCTTTCAGCACTATTTTCATTGGTGAGAACATGGATTGTTGCTTGCTCTTTGTTTGATGAAATGAACTTTTATTAGACCATTTCACCTTTGTTGCATGTTTGACAAGTTAATTTTGATGACAGGTGGCTATGAGATTAAAGGTGCGTTCTTTCATGTTACAGTTTATGATCTTTTTTTTTTTTTTTTTTTTTTTTTTTTGAATTACTGGATTTTAATATCGTAGGGTGTGTATAAAAAGACAATATCAAGACAATATTTGAGTTGAGTGCCCTTAACATTTTAATGTTTGTGAAAGAACATTTTCAAATTGCCATCCTCAAATGTGCATGCAAGTAATATATATGGGTATATAAGTCATGAGATAGTGATTTGTGGGTACAAACTTGATACATATTCCATGAACAATAAAATAGGGAATGAATAATCTTGTTTTAACAAAAATAAAATAAAATTGAATGAGATAATCTTGTTGATTAGCTAGGAATAAGTCATTCAAAATTAAAAAAAAAAAAGCTTATCAAAAATAATTTTCCAACAGCCAAGGCTATAAAATAGGGAATAAATAGATACTATTTTTAAATACCAAATAAAAATTGCTGACATAAAATATTTATTATAAAAGTCTGACATGGAAATAGTCAAGAGACTTTTAATTACACTAACACCCCCTGAGGTTTATCGCGTTTTCACAAAACCCCCTCATGTTTGAAACATTACACTAACTACCCTTCAAGTTTTAATTCTCTTTCATATAATCCCTTGAGTCAAAAATATGTTTATAAATTTACTAATTTATTCTAAGTGTCTCAAATATAGTGGATCGTGTCTTAATGATTACGCTGCCTGACAAAGTCAATAGAATGCTCCAATCCTCCTTCCTCTTACTCTCTTATTCTTAATTTATCATCCAATCCAACTCGCAAAAAGCTCTGTTCTGAGCTCACTACTGCACCATTGGACAGGTCCTCGATAGGTTACAAGGTATCTCTCTATTCCTTTGACATCGTTAATGTTGTTTTCTTTCCGGTTCTGAATTTTCCCTGTTTTCTGTTGGGTTTTAGTTTTGATGGCTTCTCCATCCTTCCACACTTATAGGATCTATAAGTAAATTGTAAATATTCACTGGCACAGATAGTCTGACATGTTATGTTAAATTACCAGAGATGGAACATAAACGTTAATTACATGTATGTTTATAAGGTGTCTGATAATTTTTCGGATTGCAGGTAAGCAATGGAGGCGAAAGCAAATAAGCAGGATTACAGATAAGGTGTTTGATCATTTTAAAAATGAGAGAGGAAGGGCTAACTTGAATTTTGAGGATCTGTACATCGGTGTACTACTTGTGTACAAGTGAGGAGCTTTTCGTGCTAAACGTATTCCCTTTTTTTTTAACTGATTGACAAATCATGCTGCTAATTTTTGCTCATTGTTTTTTAATCTTCCTGTTCTAGTGATATCAATAAGCGTTTACCCGGCCGGCATTTTGATCCACCCTCCAAAGATACTGTCAGAGCTATGATGAAGGTACTCTAGTCGTTTAATAAGACATGAGGATGAATTAGAATCACGATCAATTTTCTAATACAGAGATTTTTTCGTTGGATACAATCAAACGGTTGAAATGAAATTTGTTAGACTCAAGCCATTTACAAGTAAGATAATATCTTTTGAAATTTCAACGGTATATATCCAATTTAGCAGGGGATTTTATATGACATCTGTTATGTTTCTTGAGTTAAGGTGTTGTGCTGCAAAAGTCAAGTTGTCGTACCAAGTATTAGGCGAATAAGATTTGTTATCCAATTTTCGTTCTAGGTTAGGGAAAGCTCGTTATCCACACATATTATGTTTTTCAATCTAATAGAGTACAGTAAGTTATTACTCTCACTAGCTGTGTAGCTTTGATTCATATCTTTGGTGTGTAAATTTCAATTTTAAACTTCAGACAGTTAGATCAATAAACCATACTCTCTCTTATGCATGGAAAATGAACTGAAGCACGTTTAAGTTGCTGTGGTCAGATAGAAGCTACTCTTTGTCCTTCTTTATGTACTCTGGTTTAGCAAGATATGACAGTTTGTTTGAGGCTCTATATACATGACCAATTTATTCTGGTCCGTAGACTTTTAAGTTTCTTCGTCTTCTGATTACCTAAGTTCACTTTTGTTCTGATTAAGCACTTAAATGTTAGAAATTTTGAAGATAAGTCTGTTTGACTGCAAAATTCATCATCTTGTTTCAGTAGGCCTATTGTGCAGGCACTGAAGAAAGTCTTCGCCTTGCCAGTTCTCTAAAAAGATTGGCACCTCTTTCATAAACTGATTCTAATGTCTGTAGTCTACTTTATGTATAATTTCCGTCGAGATATCTTCCTGAAGGCATGAGATGATGCGAATGTCTATATTGCATTTATGACTTGTATGTCAGGTCGGATGTTATAAAATTTTGTGAGTTTACTTTCGTTCATGTCTCTTTGTCAACTTTGTATGTTCAAGTTTCCGCTGTTTGTTATATAAAGAAATACTGTCGTTGCTGCTGTTTGGTAGGTAAGAATCCATGTTGAGAATTTGTCTAAGGTTTCCCGTTTAGAAAACCTATAGAAACCGTTCAGATATGAGCTCATTATTCTCTTTTAGAACATGTTGAATCAATGACTTGTCTTCAGTGAAACTCATTTGATTCGTTTAATAACGTTTACCCCTAATATTTGCAGGAAAACGATCTCAATCTTGATGAAGAGATTGACAGTGAAGAGTTTGCAAAGTTCATCAAGCAGTTGACAGCGGAGACATTCGTTGTAGTCAGTCAAGGACTGATCCTCACGCTGGTTGCAGCACCGGTGTTTGCAATGGCGACAAAGAGGGCTACCGAGGGTTTACCAGGTGTCGGAAAGGTTGTGCAGAGATTACCCAATTCAGTTTATGCATCCCTTCTGACTCTTACTGTTCTATTGTTTCAACAAGTGCGCCAGGAGTTTGATTAGCTGCAAGTTTGTTCTCTGTTCAATCCTTCTATGGTTTATTTAGAAGACTTGATTATATATATGTTTTGGGTTAAAAAATTAGTCCCTTCGGTTGGGTAATTATGGCTGCATAATAATGTACAAGGAGAATGGTGTTTGAACTTATCATATACAAATAGTTGTCTTTTGGAAGTTAACCGTTTTAGTTCATCGTTGTCGCTGACACTAAACTTTCTTAACACTACTTGGCTCCTTCCTCATAAGGTCGGACTATGAAGGAGTCATTCATGACTCACAACTCATAGTCGGATGCATAAATGAAAAGCACATAAAGAAAATTGTTTGCACACATGATTTATCCGGTAACGGTAGGAATGCCCCCTTAAAGGGATGGATTGGAGCAAAGCCGTTTCCTTAACCCAAAACTCTGCAAGCTTTGTGGCAGTTGGTCCTCTTAGCACTTCCTATTTTCCGCAAGCCAAGTCATATCAAGAATTCAGCTTTCCCAGTCTTGCCTTTGCCAAATCAATTTGTTCTGTGTCATTTAGTACTACGGTCTAGAGATATTCCTCTTTTACTTGTTGGTGAGAGACCTTAGTTTCGATTATCGCCAAAAGCAAATTTGGATCACATTATTGTTAACCCATTGTGAGGCTCAGTCCATCTTCTCCCCTTTAATGTAGAAAATATCGTTTGTTCAAAAAAGAAAAAAAAAATCAATTTGTCCTGCACAATGTTAGCAATGAAAGTGCACTGAGTTCTACAATTGCAACTTTGTGGCTTGTATCTGCTTCACAAGGCCGAGTTTAGGGCCCGCTGCCGTGGGAGAGCACGTATTTTCCTTAAACGACGATGGAGGAACGGCTGCCATCTCTAAATCTCTTTTGGGTTTCTTTAATCTTCTTCGCCACTGATCAGTAAAGAGAAGCTGTGTGATGTTCGCATACGTTTGGGCCATGAAGTTGGTTTGGGCTCACAGACTTGATTGTATTTTGCCTCGTTTAGTAGGCCTTTAAAAAGGCACACTCAATGGCCCTAAACTAGAGGTGTTCGTAAGCGTGCGAGAAATGATAAACTGACACACACAGGCTTTTTAGTCTCTCGTGTATTTTTGTTTACTAATGCGGGATAATTTTGTTTTATTTATTTAATTAAAAAAGGAGTATGTAAGAAGATAATAAGAGTGTTAGAAAATCATTTTTGTAAGTGTAATTGTGGCTAGTTTTTGCATGTGGTTTAATATTCTAGTGGATATAGTGTTAGTTTACACACATGCATTCAGGGTTCGAAAATTCCCATTTTCTAAATTACTGTAATAATTTCAAACTCTCATCTCCTTCGTAATACTATACATTTTGACACAGGGGTTCCTCAAATAAAATTATTTGATCAGTTGTCGACAAAATCTCATAACAAGGGGCATCTCTACACAGCCGGCACCTTGGACCAAAACAAAAGTCACAACTTGGAAGAAAACCAACAGAACCTTCTCTCCTTTGCTTACATCACAGCTTACATCACTGAACCCAATCATCATTTAATTTCACACAAAAACCCTTTACTTTTTCTCTCCACTCACTTTGTCCCCCATTTTTTTCCAAATTCCACACTGAAAGTTGAGCATAAAAGGCCTGCCTACAAGAAGATAGCTCAAACTACCAGCAAAAATGGCAGAAGTGAAACTCCTTAGGACATGGTCAAGCGCTTTTGGCCTGAGAATCGTTTGGGCGCTGCAACTTAAAGGCATCCCTTACGAAACAATCTACGAAGATCTTTCAAACAAAAGCCCTTTACTTCTTCAGTCTAACCCTATTCATAAGAAAATTCCAGTGCTCCTGCACAATGGAAATGCAGTTGTTGAGTCACTCATAATTCTTGAATACGTCGACGAAACATGGAAGGAGAATCCCTTACTGCCGGAAGATCCTCTTGAGCGAGCCACTGCACGCTTTTGGGCCAGATATGGTGATGAGAAGGTAATCTGAACTAGCCTTTCATAATCAGATAGTTTCTTGCACAATAAGTAGACGCATCGAGTGAAAGTGCATCAGATAGCTGAACTGAACCATCATTATTTACCAGAAAGAGTAAGAAAATGCGCTGTCTGATCAGTTTGCAAATGTCCGTAGTAAATTGCAGATATTTGGCTCCATTTTTTCATTCGGTGGTGTATTATGTATATGACCTTACTCTACTTGCTCATGCCTGAAGCAAATTAAAAGAAAATTGTAGTTCATATCATAATTTAGTTTCCATATTTGATTATTCGGTTTGGTTTGTGATTTTTTATGAAGGTTTTCGCATCTATTTGGGAATCCTTTACCAAGGAAGGGAAAGAGCAAGAGGAAGGTATTGTAAAAGCCAAGGAGAACTTGAAGTACTTGGAAGAAGAGCTAAAGGGAAAGAAATTCTTTGGCGGAGAGAGAGTTGGATTTGCGGATATTGCACTTGGATGGCTTGCATACTATGAGAGTTTGTTGGAAGACATAGCAGGAATGAAAGTGGTAACCAAAGAAGAGTTTCCATTGTTATCAGCATGGGCGGGGACTTTTGCAGATGCTCCTATCATCAAAGATAATTGGCCGCCTAAAGACAAACTTATTGCCAAGCTTCAGGCTATCCGTGACAGTATCTTAAAAGAATGAAATGATCTGGTCTGTGATCATTTCATGAATGGACATGAGGGAAAGAGTTAGGTACGGAATGTGGACAATCTACGGAACCATTTTTAATAAATCCTGCCAAAGTTATTGGTGAGTTTACATAAATATAGCATCAAGAATTACAGAGATGATCATGGATTTTGGAGAAATAAGTAATGTCTGGTTGAAATATATATCAAAGTGTTTTCTGGGAGATTCTATAGTAATTGTTTCATGTATACACGACACGAGTCGGAACTGCACTGACTTCGATTACGCATTTACCAAATAAGTAGAGGAAATCATTGAAGGAGAAACAGAACAAAACAACGGCACTGCTTACCAGATTTCTGTTTTATTCCTTATAGATGCGCATTAATGAAAACTGAAGAGAAATTATTCGTCAAGATTTAATGTCTTTAAAATTAAAAATAAATAAATAAAACCCATTATGTTCCACCACACTATGATTACACTTATTTTTTACTCAAGAGAAAACCCTGCTTGGTAGAAATAAAGGTGAAACTCGATAAGCTGGAATCAAATCTAAGGCTAGGAATCGATCTAGCAATCAGATCTGTGGTGTCTTAGCTAAAAGAAAAAAAGTATGAGAGGGTTGAAAAATATTGGAAAATATAATCTACTAACTCAACTTACTAGAGATTTGAGAAATATATTCATATGTATTCCCAACTATGAACTTTCAAATCTAGAACTAGAAGAGTTTAAATATCCTAGCCACTTAGTACTACGATCTGGTGACATTCTTCTTCACTTGTAAGTGAGAGGTCTCAGGTTCAAATTTTGTGGATGGTGAATTCGATACCAAATTAGGTTGTCCATTGTGTGACTTAGTCGAATTCCACCTCCCCTTAATGTAAAATATATCGTTATACTCGGGAAAAAAAAAAAATCATAACCCCATCCCAACTAATACCAAGATATTTTGTGATAAAATCTCCCACATGATGAATTGTGCATGTGATAATTACTAAGTTAGAGACAATATTGGTATTGTTGGAAGTAGGTATTCGGCCTGTCTCTTTGATAATTTGATATAATATATATATTATGACTTACATAATCTGCATGCGCAATGCATACAATATCTTCTTTACCATATGAGTTGAGAAATTTTCTATCCTAAATGGCTACGATTGCGATTTATGAATGTCACAAACAACCAACATAAAAGTTCAAAACTTTAACACCCATGTTACGTAAACTATCTCAAAACCAACATGGAGTCTTTCAAGACCTTCAACCATGTGAAACTGATGTATAAATCCAATGCGTACAAATATTATAATATACGCAGGAATCGTCCAGAGATCATAGAAAACTAAATGCTTAACAATTTTTTAAGGGCCACAGTGACAGAGTCATTTTATCAAACAGTAAGCAAACCTGGAATTGAAAACTCAGACTGTCAGACAGTGAGACAGAGCCATTAAAGCGTGAAATACTTCCCAACACCAAAAGATCCTCAATCTGCATTCCAATTGACGCAAACTGGGTGGAAAAAGAAAAAAATAATAAATAAAAATAATAAAAATAATAAAAAAATAAAAAAGAAATAGGAAAAAGCTTCAAAATCCATTCAATTTAATGGAAAAAAATTTGAACAATTTCTCTATTTATGTGTGTCATCCTGCGCAGGAGCGCTGCTAATCTTGTGTCAGTTCCAATTTTATCGGATGTTCCCGGAAGGATAAGCTTTGTTGTGCAGTCTGTATATAAAGGACTGACAAGCAACGCTCTTTGCCGGTGTGGGACAATTGCATCCCCTTCTCAGCAGTGGTCTTTTTCACTTTTTTTTTTTTTTTTTTTTTTATAAAATGGATCCAAATATAATATAATTTATTTATGTTATTAAAAAAAAATTACTTCCAAAATCGTTCTTCATCGATTGATACTCGTATACAACAAATTTAATGATGTCACTATTGACGAAAGTTAAGATTCCACCATACACCAATTGGCAATATAGCGAGTAGTCCAACTTACTTATAAGCTTATGTAAGGTTTCTCCAACCATCAATGTGAGATTCATTCTCTACAACTTTGAATTGACAATGATACTTTTAAATACAAAACCAAAACACCTACCGAATACACTAGGATAGATCGATGTAGATGGAGATTGAGATGGAAGGAATATTAGAGGATGAAATTGAGAGAAAATGAGGGAGGGGCGCTAGATTGAAAGGAAGTCAATGGGGAAGAAGGGTGCAGAGCAAACTACTGTAAATTTCTACAGTTGCTGCCTTTGTAGCTGAGCAATTTGTTTATAAACATTTGTCGTGCAAAGTTTTTCCCTTCGAAACCTTGCGCGACGATTACCGCATTTGTCGCGAAGTTCATCCCTAAAAACTTTTTGAGAGAACAATTCATCATGCAGGTTTTAATTATTTTTTAAATTTAATTCGTATTCCTTTGAAATTTATTCAAATAAAAACTTAAACCAAATTATAGTAACCAAATAAATAATTAAACTCAAAATTAAATCCACATACAAATTAAACAAATACTTAAAAATATTGTCCACAAATACATTTACTTCAAAAAAAAATTATTATTCGCCCATAACTAAAAAAACAAGATAATAACACTCATATTCCGTTGGTTTTTCAGGATTTTGCTATAGTTCTACATCTCGCTTGACGTCATACTTCCACTCTCAAAAGTGTTATTTAAATATGTTATCGATGAACTTTAACAGCTTTGAGTCGGTTTCATCAATATTCTAATAACCCTGTTATGCCAAAAATAATAAATTAGTAATCACTCTAATGTACTATTTAACAAAAAAAAATTATTAATTCACTAATTCGAATTTACAGATAACTCTTGCACCATATACTTCTTCAGCTCAATCGACACCATTTTCCAAGATGTCCACTCCGCAGAAAAATTGGTCCACACTAGCACCGCAATGTGATGTCGCAACATGGCGTGCGACTCCGACACGCCATATCCCGTTAAATCATCATATGTGATTCGCTTATAGCGGCAATCAACCCCCATGTGCACCTGCACCCCAACTCTATTGGTTTTTTTGTCCACTAAAAAATATATAAGTAATTCATCCAAAATTTCTTTTCAACAAAAAAAGAAAAAAAAACAATTAAATTCCACATAAAATTTAGTATTACCTTTCTGAGAGCCTTCTCCCTCACATCCTTAGTTGGAAGAGGAGTGGAATCGGTCATCGTCTCGAAAATTAAAACAAGAACTTGGGGTATGAGAGCGTTTGGGGAAAAAGAAAATGGGGCAAAATTTAGGGTTGTGGGAAACCAATGTGAGAAAAAGTGAAAGTGAAACAATGCTTTTAAAGAACTTGAAGGACTTTGCACGTCAAAGTTTTGTTTGCACAAACTTCATTGCACAACCTTGTGCGACGAAACCTTTGTCATGTAAACTATGCATCAAATACGACGACACTAAGTCCTTTTGCGTGACGAAATCTGAGTGGGACTTTGCGGGTTGAATGGTTTGGTTCGTCAAGCAAAGATCCCTTTCGACAAAATCTTTTGTCGCATAAAGTTTTTGACATTTTTGGTAGGCAACACGTTTGTGCGCGATGGAATCCATTTTTGTTGTGCAAACACATTTTAAGAGACGAAATTTTCGTTGTTGGGCAAAAGTCTCGTCGTGCAAGCTATTTGTTGTACTAATGTTGAAACCCTCCGTACTAGAAATACTTGACCAAGGATGTCAGACTCCAGCGGTGGACTGGGTTGTCCCACGTCGAGGTACAACATAATGACCACTAACATTCTAGAGCATTGAATAGGTTGCTCAAATAGGTAAGTCCGCTTCATGTAGCTTGGCTGGTTAATTACATCAGGGGCACAATGCAACATTGGTACCATGCATGCACGACGATTGGTGTCTAAGACCAGCACATCCCAACTAACGTCGAACTACGTGCAGGAAATCATTACAGAACTAATAACGAAAACTCTAGGCTCATTGTTTGCCCAATAAGTAATATGCATTCCGAGGTACATGACCGGTGAGTATAATGGTGAAGTCAACATGGAGACAGAGACTTGCTCCTATAGACAATATCAACTGAATGGTATTCTCTGTAGGGATGCGTTCGATGTTTGCCCACAAAATAGGCGGAACATGATCCAAATATACTCTCGATATTACACTAGAGCAACCTTGCTGGATGCGTACTGGTAGCCAATTTGTCATGTTAGGCCTCTAGGAGGGAAAGTCTCAAGCCAATAAAGTAATTCCCTGGTTTTTGAGCTGCTAGTATCGAATTATAAAGTTTATTCATGGTGAAATTGTTACGCATGTGGAGAATATTACAAAATTTCATGCTAAATATGAACTATGTTGGAATTCATTAACGTAGTAGACTGATTAATTTGAATTTCTTAATGTTTTAGTTTATGTTATTTTTGTTTCACACAAAGGGGGACAACTAGTAGTAAGCCACAGTTATCCACCTCTTATGGGCCTAGAGAGGCTATGGGGAATTTCACTTTGTCCATGGCTAGGTCAAGCAAACTCATCAACTCGAAGCATCAAACCCGAAACCTTCCACATTTTCTTTGTGTGAAGTCAAGACTTTTAGGTTTAACTTTCCTTATCAAATATTGTAATTGAACCACACACATGCTGAATCTAGTTTTGGCTTTCCGCATATTGTAACAAGGAGATCCCTTTAAAGTTATAATAATTATAACCGTTAGATGAAAATTCAACGGCCCACGATGGTTGGTCAGGAGGATCCTCTCCATTGGCTCAGGAGAGTATCCAAATCCCTTTAAAAAGCCACATAAATGATAGTTATTCTAGAAGTATTTTTAAAACTATAAAACGCCACTTAATACTATGGTCTAGTGATATTCTTCTTCACTTTTTAGTGAAAGGTCTTAGGTTCGATTCTTGCCAAAGGCGAATTTGAACCACATTATTGCTAGCTTATTGTAAGGCTCAGCTCATCCCCTCCCCTTTAGTGTAGAAAATATCATTTGTTGAAAAAAAAATCAATTTGTTCTGCACAATGTTAGCAATGAAAAAGCATTGAGTTCTGCAATTGCAACTTCGTGGCTCGTATTTGCTTCACAAGGCTGAGTTTGGGGCCTGCCATTGTGAAAGAGCACGTATTTTCCTTAAGGTACCGTTTGGTACATGGGACGGGATGGAACAGAGTAGGACAAGACGTTCCGTTCCACGTTTGGTGCGCCTAAAACGGGTGGAACGAGCTGTTCCACGGGACGAGTTTTGGGTGATCAATTTTTGTTCAACCTCACCCCCTGGAACGACTCGTTTCACATCCGTGGAAAACAAAATTATAAACTCTATGTCTCCTTCTTCTTCCTCCTTGTTTCCATCCGAGGGCATCTTTGCTCCCGTTCCGTTCCGTTCCGTCCTGTCCCTTCCCGTCCCGTCCCGTTTGCATACCAAACGATACCTAAACGACGACAGAGGAACGGCTGCATCTCTGAATCTCTTTTGGGTTTCTTTAATCTTCTTCGCCACTGATCGGTAAAGAGAAGCTGTGTGATGTTCGAATTCATTTGGGCCATGAAGTTGGTTTGGGCTCTCAAACTTGATTGTATTTCAACTCGTTTAATAGGCCTTTAAAAAGGCATGCTCAATGGCCCTAAACTAGAGGGGTTCGTAAGTGTGTGAGAAACGATAAACTGGCACATACACGCTTTTTAGTCGCTCATGTATTGTTGTTTAATAATGTGTGTTAATTTTGTTTTATTTATTTAATTCGATAAATAGAAATAAAAAAAGAGTATGTGAGAAAGAGTGTTAGAAAATTATTTTTATAAGTGTAATTGTGGTCCAATATCCTAATTGACAAAGTGTGAATTTACACTAGACCAGTAGACAGATCGCGTTTATTGGGTTTGAGTCGGGTTCAACCCGATCCGTTAATTTAACAGATCATCTAAACTCAATCCGTTAAGCTAATAAGTCACCCATAAAACTAATAGGTCACCCGTTAACAATTTTTTTTTTTTTCCAAACCACCAACCATCTCAGCCTTTCTTTCTTCACCAACAGCAGCAGCAGCATCCACTAAATTATTTTTGCTCCCCTGATCCTGCAAAATTTCTTGTGTCTCTATTGCCTCCTCGAAAACCTCATCTTCGGCGTCATCCTTGAGTCCATTAGACCCTCAACAACCTCAACTTCCACGCTCTCGTTCTCCCCCACTTCAGACCCACCAGCAATCTTATCACCATTTTCCATCCCCAAATCCTCAAAATGCAGCCTCAAAACCCTAGATTCACAAAAATCGGGAAAACCCCAATTATCAAACTTTGGAATTAACATACAAAAACCTTTTTAGGACTATTGAAATTACACAAAAGTTCTCAATAACGGGTGGTTAACGGGTTTTGCGGGTTCACCCAAAATAACCCGTTATTTAACAGGTGATTAACAAGTTGACCCGTTAACCATCCGACCCGTTTATCACTCACCCGAGTGCTAATTTTAACTGCAAATTTTCCTGTGTCTGATAATTTTCCGGATTGCAGGTAAGCAATGGAGGCGAAAGCAAATAAGCAGGATTACAGATAAGGTGTTTGATCATTTTAAAAATGAGAGAGGAAGGGCTAACTTGACTTTTGAGGATCTGTATATCGGTGTACTACTTGTGTACAAGTGAGGAGCTTTTCATGCTAAACGTATTCCCTTTTTTTTTAACTGATTGACAAATCATGCTGCTAATTTTAGCTGATTGTTTTTTAATCTTCCTGTTCTAGTGATATCAATAAGCATTTACCCGGCCGGCATTTTGATCCACCCTCCAAAGATACTGTCAGAGCTATGATGAAGGTACTCTAGTCGTTTAATGAGACATGAGAATAAATTAGAATCACGATCAGTTTTCTAATACAGGGATTTTTTCGTTGGATACAATCAAACGGTTGAAATGAAGTTTGTTAGACTCGAGCCATTTACAAGAAAGATAATATCTTTTGAAATTTCAATGGTATATATCCAATTTAGCAGGGGATTTCATATGACATCTGCTATGTTTCTTGAGTTAAGGTGTTGTGCTGCAAAAGTCAAGTTGTCGTACCCGTTTAGAAAACCTATAGAAACCGTTTGGATATGAGCTCGTTATTCTCTTTTAGAAAATGTTGAATCAATGACTTGTCTTCAGCGAAACTCGTTTGATTTGTTTAATAACGTTTACCCCTAATATTTGCAGGAAAACGATCCCAATCTTGATGAAGAGATTGACAGTGAAGAGTTTGCAAAGTTCATCAAGCAGTTGACAGCGGAGACATTCGTTGTTGTCAGTCAAGGACTGATCCTCACGCTGGTTGCAGCACCGGTGTTTGCAATGGTGACAAAGAGGGCTACCGAGGGTTTACCGGGTGTCGGAAAGGTTGTGCAGAGATTACCCAATTCAGTTTATGCATCACTTCTAACTCTTACTGTTTTGTTGTTTCAACAAGTGCGCCAGGAGTTTGATTAGCTGCAAGTTTGTTCTCTATTCAATCCTTCTATGGTTTATTTAAAAGACTTGATTATATATATGTTTTGGGTTAAAAAATTAGTCCCTTCGGTTGGGTAATTATGGCTGCATAATAATGTACAAGGAGAATGGTGTTTGAACTAATCATATACAAATAGTTGTCTTTTGGAAGTTAACCGTTTTAGTTCATCCTTGTCACTGACACTAAACTTTCTTAACACTACTTGGCTCCTTCCTCATAAGGTCGGACTATGAAGGAGTCATTCATGACTCACAACTCATAGTCCGATGCATAAATGAAAAGCACATAAAGAAAATTGTTTGCACACATGATTTATCCGGTAACGGGAGGAATGCCCCCTTAAAGGGATGGATTGGAGCAAAGCCGTTTCCTTAACCCAAAACTCTGCAAGCTTTTTGGCAGTTGGTCCTCTTAGCACTTCCTATTTTCCGCAAGCCAAGTCATATCAAGAATTCAGCTTTCCCAGTCTTGCCTTAGCCAAATCAATTTGTTCTATGTCATTTAGTATTACGGTCTAGAGGTATTCCTCTTTTTACTTGTTGGTGAGAGGTCTTAGTTTCGATTCTCGTCAAAAGCAAATTTGGATCACATTATTGTTATCCCATTGTGTGGCTCAGTTCATCTTCTCCCCTTTAATGTAGAAAATATCGTTTGTTGAAAAAAGAAAAAAAAATCAATTTGTCCTGCATGTGGTTTAATATTCTAGTGGATATAGTGTTAGTTTACACACATGCATTCAGGGTTTGAAAATTCCCATTTTCTAAATTACTGTAATAATTTCAAACTCTCATCTCCTTCATAATAATATACATTTTGACACACGGGGCTCCTCAAATAAAATTATTTGATCAATTGTCAAGTGGAATCACAACAAAATAGTTTAGCAGAAAGAATCATTTAAGGCCACTTCACGACAAAATCTCATAACAAGGGGCATCTCTACACAGCCGGCACCTTGGACCAAAACAAAAGTCACAACTTGGAAGAAAACCAACAGAACCTTCTCTCCTTTGCTTACATCACAGCTTACATTATGTTAATAAGTCACCCGTTAAGCTAATAAGTCACCCGTTAAGCTAATAGGTCACCCGTTAACAAATTTTTTTTTTTCCAAACCACCAACCATCTCAGCCTTTCTTTCTTCACCAACAGCAGTAGCATCCACTAAATTATTTTTGCTCCCCTGATCCTGCAAATTTTCCTGTGTCTCTATTGCCTCCTCGAAAACCTCATATTCGGCGTCATCCTTGAGTCCATTAGACCCCTCAACAACCCTCTCCTCAACAACCTCAACTTCCACGCTCTCGTTCTCCACCACTTCAGACCCACCAGCAATCTTATCACCATTTTCCATCCCCAAATCCTCAAAATGCAGCCTCAAAACCCTAGATTCACAAAAATCCGGAAAACCCCAATTATCAAACTTTGGAATTAACATACAAAAACCTTTTTAGGACTATTAAAATTACACAAAAGTTCTCAATAACGGGTGGTAACAGGTTTTGCGGGTTCATCCAAAATGACCTGTTATTTAACAGGTGATTAACGAGTTGACCCGTTAACCACCCGACTCATTTATCACTCACCCGAGTGCTAATTTTAACTGGTCAGGTGAGGTTAACGGGTCGGGTTGAAAATGTCAGACCTAGTTTACACACATACGTCCAGAATTTGAAAATTTTCATTTTCTAAATTATTATAATAATTTCAAACCCTCTTCATTCCTTTAAAAATAATATACATTTTGACATAAGGCTCCCTCAAATAAAATTATTTGATCAGTTGTCAAGCGGAATCACAACAGAATAGTTTAGCAGAAGGAATCATTTAAGCCCACTTCACGACAAAATCTCAAAGGGATGTGTTATCCACATATATTTTTTTACTTTTTACACACCATTTGTTAATTTCTGTCCGTTGATCTTCTTTAATTCATCTGATCTGACGGTCGAAAATTAAAAAGATATATGAAAAGTAAAAAGAAGTGTGTGAATATCACATCCTTTAAGATTTTGTCGTGAAGTGGGCTTAAATGATTCCTTCTGCTATCAATGGGCATCTCAACACAGCCGGCACCTTGGACCAAAACAAACGTCCAAACTTGGAAGAAAACCAACAAAACCTTCTCTCCTTCGGTTACATCACAGAACCCAATCATCATTTAATTTCACACAAAAACCCTTTACTTTTTCTCTCCACTCACTTTCTCCCCCATTTTTTTCCAAATTCCATACTTTTTCTCTCCCCCTAAGCAACCATATCATTTGTCTTTTGTTTGAGTTTAATTTATTTAATTCAATAACTAAAATAAAGATTGTGTCATAGACACAAAAATAGCGTGTCTTATCATTTCTAAACATTAAACTAACTAGAGTTTGATTTTTTAGAGAAAAATAATTGAAAATGAAAAATCATGTAAAATTACGTGGCAATAAGTGATATATATCATCTACAGGGGAGCAATTCAAATTTTACAATATATAAGGCTTCAATAATAAATACAATGAAGTCTAGGGAGACCATGCGAAATTCTACACTGAAAGTTAACCATAAAAGGCCTGCCTAGCACAAGATAGCTCAAACTACCAGCAAAAATGGCAGAAGTTAAACTCCTTAGGACATGGTCAAGCCCTTTTCCTCTGAGAATCGTTTGGGCGCTGCAACTTAAAGGCGTCCCTTACGAAACAATCTACGAAGATCTTTCGAACAAAAGCCCTTTACTTCTTCAGTCTAACCCTGTTCATAAGAAAGTTCCAGTGCTCCTGCACAATGGAAATGCAATTGTTGAGTCGCTCATAATTCTCGAATATGTTGACGAAACATGGAAGGAGAATCCCTTACTGCCGGAAGATCCTCTTGAGCGAGCCGCTGCACGCTTTTGGGCCAGATATATCGATGATAAGGTAATCTGAACTAGCCTTTCGTAATCAGATAGTTTCTTGCACAAAAGTATACCCATCGAGTGAAAGTGCATCAGATAGCTGAACTGAACCATCATTATTTACCTGAAATAGTAAGAAAATGCGTTGTCGGATCAGTTTGCAAATTTCCGCTGTAAATTGCAGATATTTGGCTGCACTTTTTCGTTCAGTGGTGTATTATGTATATGACCTTACTCTACTTGCGCATGCCTGAAACAAATTAAAAGAAAATTGTAGTTCATATCATAATTTAGTTTCGATATTTGATTATTCGGTTTGGTTTGTGATTTTTTATGAAGGTTTTGCCATCTATTTGGGAATCCTTTACCAAGGAAGGGAAAGAGCAAGAGGAAGCTATTGTAAAAGCCAAGGAGAACTTGAAGTACTTGGAAGAAGAGCTAAAGGGAAAGAAATTCTTTGGCGGAGAGAAAGTTGGATTTGTGGATATTGCACTTGGATGGTTTGCATACAATGAGAGTTTGTTTGAAGACGTAGCGGGAATGAAAGTGGTAACCAAAGAAGAGTTTCCATTGTTATCAGCATGGGCGGTGACTTTTGCAGATCTTCCCATCATCAAAGACAATTGGCCGTCTAGAGACAAACTTATTGCCAAGTATCAGGCTATGCGTGACAGTATCTTAAAAGAATGAAATGATCTGGTCTGTGATCATTTCATGAATGCATATGAGGGGAAGAGTTAGGTACGGAATGTGGACAATCTATCAAAACCATTTTTAATAAATCCTGCCAAAGTTATTGGTGAGTTTATATAGCTGTAGTATCAAGAATTACAGAGATGATCATGGATTTTGGAAAAATAAGTAATGTCTGGTTAAAATATATATATATCAAAGTGTTTTCTGGGAGATTCTAAAGTAAATGTTTCATGTTTACACGAAACAGAAACATTACCAAACGAGTCGTAACTACACTTACTTCGATTAAGCATTTACCAAATAAGTAGAGGAATCACTGAAGAGAAACGGAACAAAACAACATCACTGCTTACCTTATAGATGCGCATTAATGGAAACTGAAGAGAGATTATTCGTCGAGATTAATTTCTTTAAAATATGTCTACTATAGTTACTATACCTTAACCCATTAGGTTCCACAATACTATGATGACACTTGATTTTTGACTAAGAGAAAACCCTGCTTAGTAGAAATAAAGGTGAAACTCAATACGCTGGAATCAAATCTATGGCTAGGAATCGATCTAGCAATCAAATCTATGGTGTCTTGGCTAAAAGAAAAAAAAATGTGAGGGAGTTGAAAAATTTTGTAAAATATAATCTACTACCTCAACTTTACTAGAGATTTGAGAAATCATTCATTTGTATTCCCAACTATGTACTTGCAAATCTGGAACTAGAAACTCAATGAGATTCGTATACGACATACATTACCTGCAATCGCAATGCATACATCATCTTCTTTGGAGAAATTTTCTATCCTAAATGACTACGACTGTGATTTACAAATGTCTCAAACAACCAAAATGAAAGTTCGAAACTTTTAACATCCACGTTACGTAAACTAACTAAAAGAATCATATCTTGGATTTGTTATTGAACTAAAACAAGCAAAACCCAAATGGAGTCTTTCAAGAGCTTCAACCAAGTGAAACTGGTACACAAACACAATGTGCACACGCCCGCACACATATATAAACACAACATATATATATATATATAGAGGGATCGTCCAGAGATCATAGAAAACTAAATGCTTAAGCTTAACAATCGTTTAAGGGGCACAGTAACAAAGTCATTTTATCAAACAGTTAGTAGGCAAACCTGGAATATGAAAACTCAGACTGTCAGACAGTGAGACAGAGCCACCAAAGCGTGAAATACTTCCCAACACCAAAGGATCCTCAATCTGCATTCCAATTGACCCAAACTGGGTGGAAAAAAACAGAAGGAAAAAGCTTCAAAATCCATTCAATTTCATGGAGAAAATTTGAACCATTTCTCGATTTATGCGTGTCATCCTTGCGCAGGAGCCATGCTAATCTTCTCTGTATCAGTTCCAATTTTATCGAAGGTCCCGAAGGGACATTCTTCGTTGCGCAGTTAGGACTAATAACCAGCGCTGTCCCCGGTGTGGGACAATTGTATCCCCCTTCTCAGCAGTCGAGTCAAGTTTCCTTCTTTTTGTAATAAAACTGATTCCGGCCCAATCTCCATACAAATAAATTAAATGACAACATAATATACATATAATTTAACTTATTTATGTTATTAGAAAAAATAAAAATAATACCTCCAAAATCTTTACCCACCGATCCCTACTCGTATACAACAGCGCTATAGACAACAAAATTAATGGTGTTAATTTTTACACCTTCATTTTTACACCTCCAAAATAATACCTCCAAAATAATTTAATTTATTTATGTTATTAGAAAAAATAAAAATAATACCTCCAAAATAATGCTCATAACCATTTCATTTTTACACCTTCATTTTCCTCTTATGTTCTAGAGGGTCGCCTCTGTTTTGCATTGGCATTGGTGTTGGGCTTTCAGCACTGTTTTCATTGGTGAGAACATGGATTGTTGCTTGCTCTTTGTTTGATAAAATGAACTTTTATTAGACCATTTCACCTTTGTTGCATGTTTAACAAGTTAATTTTGATGACAGGTGGCTATGAGATTAAAGGTGCGTTCTTTCATGCTACAGTTTATGATCTTTTTTTTTGTTTTTGAATTACTGGATTTTAATATCGTAGGGTGTGTATAAAAGGACAATATTAAGACAATATTTGAGTTGAGTGCCCTTAACATTTTAATGTTTTGGAAAGAACATTTTCAAATTGCCATCCTCAAATGTGCATGCAAGTAATATATATGGGTATATAAGTCATGAGATAGTGATTTGTGGGTACAAACTTGATACATATTCCGTGAACAATAAAATAGGGAATGAATAATCTTGTTTTAACAAAAATAAAATAAAATTGAATGATATAATCTTGTTGATTAGCTAGGAATAAGTCATTCAAAATTAAAAAAAAAAAAAAGCTTATCAAAAATAATTTTCCAACAGCCAAGGCTATAAAATGGGGAATAAATAGATATTATTTTTAAATACCAATACAAATTGCTGACATGTAAAATATTTATTATAAAAGTCTGACGTGGAAATAGTCAAGAGACTAACACCCCCCTAAGGTTTATCGCGTTTTCACAAAACCCCCTCATGTTTGAAACATTACACTAACTACCCTTCAAGTTTTAATTCTCTTTCATATAATCCCTTGAGTCAAAAATATGTTTATAAATTTACTAATTTATTCTAAGTGTCTCAAATATAGTGGATCGTGTCTTAATGATTACGCTGCCTGACAAAGTCAATAGAATGCTCCAATATAGTGGATCGTGTCTCAAATATAGTGGATCGTGTCTTAATCATATACAAATAGTTGTCTTTTGGAAGTTAACCATTTTAGTTCATCCTTGTCACTGACACTAAACTTTCTTAACACTATTTGACTCCTTCCTCATAAGGTCGGACTATGAAGGGAGTCATTCATGACTCACAACTCATAGTCCGATGCATAAATGAAAAGCACATAAAGAAAATTGTTTGCACACATGATTTATCCGGTAACCGGAGGAATGCCCCCTTAAAGGGATGGATTGGAGCAAAGTCGTTTCCTTAACCCAAAACTCTGCAAGCTTTTTGGCAGTTGGTCCTCTTAGCACTTCCTATTTTCCGCAAGCCAAGTCATATCAAGAATTCAGCTTTCCCAGTCTTGCCTTAGCCAAATCAATTTGTTCTATGTCATTTAGTACTACGGTCTAGAGGTATTCCTCTTTTTACTTGTTGGTGAGAGGTCTTAGTTTCGATTCTCGTCAAAAGCAAATTTGGATCACATTATTGTTATCTCATTGTGTGGCTCAGTTCATCTTCTCCCCTTTAATGTAGAAAATATTGTTTGTTCAAAAAAGAAAAAAAAATCAATTTGTCCTGCATGTGGTTTAATATTCTAGTGGATATAGTGTTAGTTTACACACATGCATTCAGGTTTTGAAAATTCCCATTTTCTAAATTACTGTAATAATTTCAAACTCTCATCTCCTTCATAATAATATACATTTTGACACACGGGGCTCCTCAAATAAAATTATTTGATCAATTGTCAAGTGGAATCACAACAAAATAGTTTAGCAGAAAGAATCATTTAAGGCCACTTCACGACAAAATCTCATAACAAGGGGCATCTCTACACAGCCGGCACCTTGGACCAAAACAAAAGTCACAACTTGGAAGAAAACCAACAGAACCTTCTCTCCTTTGCTTACATCACAGCTTACATTATGTTAATAAGTCACCCGTTAAGCTAATAAGTCACCCGTTAAGCTAATAGGTCACCCGTTAACAAATTTTTTTTTTTCCAAACCACCAACCATCTCAGCCTTTCTTTCTTCACCAACAGCAGTAGCATCCACTAAATTATTTTTGCTCCCCTGATCCTGCAAATTTTCCTGTGTCTCTATTGCCTCCTCGCAAACCTCATATTCGGCGTCATCCTTGAGTCCATTAGACCCCTCAACTTCCACGCTCTCGTTATTTAACAGGTGATTAACGAGTTGACTCGTTAACCACCCGACTCATTTATCACTCACCCGAGTGCTAATTTTAACTGGTCAGGTGAGGTTAACGGGTCGGGTTGAAAATGTCAGACCTAGTTTACACACATACGTCCAGAATTTGAAAATTTTCATTTTCTAAATTATTATAATAATTTCAAACCCTCTTCATTCCTTTAAAAATAATATACATTTTGACATAAGGCTCCCTCAAATAAAATTATTTGATCAGTTGTCAAGCGGAATCACAACAGAATAGTTTAGCAGAAGGAATCATTTAAGCCCACTTCACGACAAAATCTCAAAGGGATGTGTTATCCACATATATTTTTTTACTTTTTACACACCATTTGTTAATTTCTGTCCGTTGATCTTCTTTAATTCATCTGATCTGACGGTCGAAAATTAAAAAGATATGTGAAAAGTAAAAAGAAGTGTGTGAATATCACATCCTTTAAGATTTTGTCGTGAAGTGGGCTTAAATGATTCCTTCTGCTATCAATGGGCATCTCAACACAGCCGGCACCTTGGACCAAAACAAACGTCCAAACTTGGAAGAAAACCAACAAAACCTTCTCTCCTTCGGTTACATCACAGAACCCAATCATCATTTAATTTCACACAAAAACCCTTTACTTTTTCTCTCCACTCACTTTCTCCCCCATTTTTTTCCAAATTCCATACTTTTTCTCTCCCCCTAAGCAACCATATCATTTGTCTTTTGTTTGAGTTTGATTTATTTAATTCAATAACTAAAATAAAGATTGTGTCATAGACACAAAAATAGCGTGTCTTATCATTTCTAAACATTAAACTAACTAGAGTTTGATTTTTTAGAGAAAATTAATTGAAAATGAAAAATCATGTAAAATTACGTGGCAATGAGTGATATATATATATATATATATATATATATCCATCTACAGGGGAGCAATTCAAATTTTACAATATATAAGGCTTCAATAATAAATACAATGAAGTCTAGGGAGACCATGCGAAATTCTACACTGAAAGTTAACCATAAAAGGCCTGCCTAGCAGAAGATAGCTCAAACTACCAGCAAAAATGGCAGAAGTTAAACTCCTTAGGACATGGTCAAGCCCTTTTCCTCTGAGAATCATTTGGGCGCTGCAATTTAAAGGCGTCCCTTACGAAACAATCTACGAAGATCTTTCGAACAAAAGCCCTTTACTTCTTCAGTCTAACCCTGTTCATAAGAAAGTTCCAGTGCTCCTGCACAATGGAAATGCAATTGTTGAGTCGCTCATAATTCTCGAATATGTTGACGAAACATGGAAGGAGAATCCCTTACTGCCGGAAGATCCTCTTGAGCGAGCCACTGCACGCTTTTGGGCCAGATATATCGATGATAAGGTAATCTGAACTAGCCTTTCGTAATCAGATAGTTTTTTGCACAATAAGTATACCCATCGAGTGAAAGTGCATCAGATAGCTGAACTGAACCATCATTATTTACCTGAAATAGTAAGAAAATGCGTTGTCGGATCAGTTTGCAAATTTCCGCAGTAAATTGCAGATATTTGGCTGCACTTTTTCGTTCAGTGGTGTATTATGTATATGACCTCACTCTACTTGCGCATGCCTGAAGCAAATTAAAAGAAAATTGTAGTTCATATCATAATTTAGTTTCGATATTTGATTATTCGGTTTGGTTTGTGATTTTTATGAAGGTTTTGCCATCTATTTGGGAATCCTTTACCAAGGAAGGGAAAGAGCAAGAGGAAGGTATTGTAAAAGCCAAGGAGAACTTGAAGTACTTGGAAGAAGAGCTAAAGGGAAAGAAATTCTTTGGCGGAGAGAAAGTTGGATTTGTGGATATTGCACTTGGATGGCTTACATACTATGAGAGTTTGTTTGAAGACATAGCGGGAATGAAAGTGGTAACCAAAGAAGAGTTTCCATTGTTATCAGCATGGGCGGCGACTTTTGCAGATGTTCCTATCATCAAAGACAATTGGCCGTCTAGAGACAAACTTATTGCCAAGTTTCAGGCTATCCGTGACAGTATCTTAAAAGAATGAAATGATCTGGTCTATGATCATTTCATGAATGGATATGAGGGAAAGAGTTAGGTACGGAATGTGGACAATCTATCAAAACCATTTTTAATAAATCCTGCCAAAGTTATTGGTGAGTTTACATAAATATAGCATCAAGAATATACTTCCCAACACCAAAAGATCATAGAAAACTAAATGCTTAACAATTGTTTAAGGGCCACAGTAACAGAGTCATTTTATCAAACAGTTAGTAGGCAAACCTGGAATATGAAAACTCAGACTGTCAGACAGTGAGACAGAGCCATCAAAGCGTGAAATACTTCCCAACACCAAATCCTCAATCTGCATTCCAATTGACGCAAACTGGGTGTGGAAAAAGAAAAAAGACGCAAACTGGGTGTGGAAAAAGAAAAATAAAAAAAGAAACAGGAAAAAGCTTCAAAATCCATTCAATTTAATGGGAAAAAAATTGGACAATTTCTCGATTTATGTGTCATCCTTGCGCAGGAGCGCTGCTAATCTTGTCAGTTCCAATTTTATCGATGTCCCCGGAAGGATAAGCTTTGCTGTGCAGTTTCTGTATATAAAAGACTGACGAGCAAGCGCTCTTTGCCGGTGTGGGACAATTGCATCCCCTTCTCAACAGTGGTCTTTTTCACCTTTTTTTTTTTTTTTTAACGGATAAAATATAATATAATATATTTATGTTATTAAAAAAAAAATTACTTCCAAAATCGTTCTCCACCGATTGCTACTCGTATACAACAAATTTAATGATATCACTATTGACGAAAGTTGAGATTCCATCATACACCTATTGGCAATATAGCGAGTAATCCAACTTAGTTATAAGCTTATGCAAGGTTACTCTAACCATCAATGTAAGATTCATTCTCAACAACTTTGAATTAACAATGATGCTTTTAAATACAAAACCAAAACGCCTACCGAATACACTAGGATAGATCGATGTAGATGGAGATTGAGATGGAAGGAATATTAGAGGATGAAATTGAGGGAAAATAAGGGAGGGGCGCCGGATTGAAGAAAGTCAATGGGGGAGAAGGGTGCAGAGCGAACTGTTGTAATTTCTACAATTGCTGCATTTGTAGCTGAGCAATCTGTTTATAAACATTTGTCGTGCAATGTTTTTCCCTTCGAAATCTTGCGCGACGATTACCACATTTATCGCGAAGTTCATCCCTAAAAACTTTTTGAGAGGACAATTCATCATGCAAGTTTTAATTATTTTTTAAATTTAATTCGTGTTCCTTTGAAATTTATTCAAATAAATACTTAAAACAATTTGTAACCAAATAAATAATTAAACTCAAAATTAAATCCACATAGAAATTAAACAAATATTTAAAAATATTGTCCACAAATACATTTACTTAAAAAAAAAATTATTATTCGTCCATAACTAAAAAACAAGATAATAACACTCATATTCCGTTGGTTTTTCAGGATTTTGCTGTAGTTCTACATCTCGCTTGACGTCATACTTCCACTCCCAAAAGTGCTATTTGAAGATGTTATCGATGAACTTTAACAGCTTTGAATCGGTTTCATCAATATCCTAATAACCCTGTTATGCAAAAAATAATAAATTAGTAATCACTCTAATGTACTATTTAACAAAAACAATTATTAATTCACTAATTCGAATTTACAAATAACTCTTGCACCATATACTTCTTCAACTCATCCGACACCATTTTCCAAGATGCCCACTTCGCAGAACAATTGGTCCA